GAGAAATGCCAGATATAGGTGAAGGGGAGGAAGGCAGCAAATCACACTGCCTTGTGCGTACCTATGCAACAATCTTGCATGTTCTTCACATGTACCCCAAAACCTAAAATGCAATAAAAAAAGACATAATAAAGATGACATAAAAAAATAAAAGTAGTAATAAATACTTGACTTAATTATGCCACTGAAAATTTTAGTCTTTTAAAATTTCAAACTGAGGAAAGAAAACATGACATTGGTGTAAGTAAAGCAGTTCTCCTCTTTTCTTTTCCTTATTTTTTGAGATGGAGCCTCACTCTGTCACCAGGCTGGAGCAGTGTTGCAATCGCAGCCTCAGCTCACTGTAACTTCCACCTCCTTGGTTCCTGCCTCAGCCTCCCGAGTAGCTGGGAATACAGGCATGCGCCACCACACCCAGCTATTTTTTTGTGTGTTTTTAGTAGAGACGGGGTTTCACCATATTGACCAAGATGGTCTTGATCTCTTGACCTTGTAATCCACCTGCCTAGGCCTCCCAAAGTGCTGAGATTACAGGTGTAAGCCATCACACCTGGCCAGCAGTTCTACTTTTTTAAAGCCACGTAACTAATATTATTTGTCAGTATGATTTGAAATTGTAGCAATAATTGTTTAATAAATTGCCCATTTACTGCCATCCCCAAAGTAGAATCCAACATGTACTGTGACTGTTCAATAATGTATATTTTAATTAACGATATCTTTTCTCTGAAACTGAAATGTCAATATGATTATAAGCGTGTATGCTGAAGACAGAGTTCAGCACAGCGTCTTAATAACAGAGCTAAAATGGAAGGTAACAACATGCTTGTCACATGAGACTGTGGGCCAATTAAACCAGCTCCCTCAAGTGTTCAATCTTGGGGAGAAAGAACTGTCAAGAGCCCCATACACTCACAAATAAGTTCCTGATCACTTTGTGTTGTACACGTTGACTATTGCTGTAATCCATTTAATAGATACTTAGGTCTTTATTTTACGCTCAGAACTTGCCTCTGTGGGCGTCACTTATAATTTGTAGCAGCTTTGCACCAGCAGGCAACATGCATGGTTAGATCAGATGGTACTATGTTTGATACTGAATTACCCTTTATTATACCAGATATGTGACCTTGTGTAAATTGCTTAATTGAGCCTCAGTTTCTCCATCTATAAAATAGGTATTTAATGAGGCAATATCTTAAACTATCATGCACAAAATGGTATTCAACAAATGAGAAATATTATTTTCTCTTTGCATATCTATGTCCAATTTGGTTCAATATCTGGATTATGTTTTATTTATCTATTTATTTATTTTTAAAGAGAAGAGCCTCACTCTGTTGCCCAGGCTGGACTGCTGCAGTATGATCATCGCTCACTCAGACTCCTGGGCTCAAGTGATCCTCTTGCCTCAGCCTCTTAAGTAGCTGGGATTACAGGCACAAACCACTGCATCCAACTGGATTATGTTATAATTAAAGGAGAAGAAAGTTTATTCTTGTATGGTCCTTTGGGAAAAGCATGTCATATACTTTCCAGATTTTTTTATAATAAGTCTCTGTAAGTTTTCAAATGAAGGGCAGGGTAGAAAACCCTTACTTTTTAAAAATTCAATACGGTATTCACATATAGAGCATACATTTTTCACTCCCTTCCCTTCAGAAATCCCATTAAAATTATAGTACAGGAATAAAAAGGGAATGAAAGCTAAGCTATTCAGAGGAGGACCTTCACAGGTGAGAGAGTTCGATAAATTTTTGTCAGACAATAGTATATAGAAGATAATAGTTTTTTAAAAATATAGCTGGGGAAACTGCAGCCTGGAGTACTGTAGGAGGTAGCTGCAATGGAGAAGGGAACCAATCTGTTCAGCAAGACCCAAGCATGGTTCTGGATTCAGGTGTGATAGACAGGTTTAATAGAGGCAGGAAGAAGCTGAAAATACAGGGATTAACTGATAGTTGAGTAGGAAGCTGTTAACTCCTCTTGAGAGTTTATAACACATACCTCTCCCATTCTCACACACAGAACCACATACAGAATATGGAACACTTATTCCCAGAGAGGGAGATCAGGATGTTTTGCCTCTAAAGAAATGGAATGCACTTTCAGCTGAACCACAAGCAGAGCTGTTCCACATTTTGTCATTTGGTGGGTACTTAGGGAAAATGCCGTCTCCCAGACCACCACCTACCAGTCAACAAGCTCCACATACATAATCAGATCTTCCATTCTCATCTATATTTCTATAGGTGAGAGAGTTGATCTTGGAGAAAACAGAAATAATTCAGGTGGTATCAGAGATCTGTCAAAAATCTCCTTTAGTATCTTCAGAGATATTCTATAAGACATAGTACTCATAAAAAGTACTTACATAAAGGGGGCCTCAAAATACAAGAAGCAGCTCTTGGAAATATTAAAGTGAGCTATCTATAATCATGGGTTCTGCATCCTTGGATTCAACCAACTGTAGATTAAAAGTATTCAAATTAAAGAAAAGAAAACAATACAAGCAAAGACAACACAGTATAACAACTATTTACCTAGCACTTACTAATGTAAATCATTTGTATTAGGTATTATAAGTGATCTAGAGATAAGGTTTAAAGCATATGTTGCACATCTGGGCAAAATAGTGAGACCTCTCTAAAAAAGAAAAAAATTATACAAGATGTATGTAAGTTATATGCAACTACTCCTTCATTCATAGGGAACTTGAGTATCCTCAAATTTTTGTATCCTTAGTTACATCAATTCTGCAATACAACTTAACATATAAATGCCTGGGCAAATGGCTGCCTCTGAAGACACAGGCTGGAACCAATACTTTCCTGATACTGAGAGATGACTGTATTTGATATAAAAATTCAAAAATTAATAGAACAGTTGGAAGATGAAGTCAGTTGTTAAAATTCTTCAAAGAAATGCATCAGTGTCTTCATCCCACTTGTTTAAAATTTCCATTAGAAGCTCTACTCTTGTGTGCAACTGATCTGAATGCAATGGTTTTGTCACCCATCAAGTGGAAAGTTTGCTCAACTTTGATTTTTCAGTAAGAATTGTGTAAACTAAACCAATTAAGATGACTATGGTGTTGGCTATTGCTTCTGCTGTTATTTGTTGGTCCTCTTCATTTAGGGCACAAACAAGATAATTTTTTTCCTTACCGTAGAATATTGTGGATGGTTTGCCACTGTGGCTTCATCTTCAACATGATCTCATCCCTTCTTTTTTTTTTTTTTTTTTTTTTT